CCCCCCTGCTCCTGCTTCCCCCCCCCCCCCCTCCCCTTCCGCTGCTGCTGCTGGCGCTCCCGAAGCTGCGCGTCTCGTGCTCGATGCAACGGCAGCCTTCCTCCTCCCGCTACCACCCCCTCGTCAATGTCGTTGTCGTCGGGTCTGCTGCCGCCGCTGCCGCCGTACCGCACCTCCTGCAGAGCCGCGTAGAAGAATGCTGAGTGCCGGCAGAGGTTTCCCACGAGGTTGCAGGCCTTGGCGCGGACCGCGGGGTCCCCGTGCGCGAGGAGTCCCCCCAGGCTGGCCACCACGCCGGCATCGCGGAGCCTCCCGTAGTTGTCCGCGGAGGAGCGGGCCAGCTGGCTGGCGATGACGAGCGCCCCGGTGGCGAGGCCGGCGGAGGCGTCCTCCCGCATGGACCCGGCGGAAACCAGCTCGTCCAGCCCCCCTTCCTCGAGGAACTGCTGGCTGAAGTGCGGCGAGAGGAGAACGAGGCGCGACAGGAGCTCGACGCACGCGCACAGGGCGGCCTCTGTCTGGGCGCCGCTGCAGTCGTCTGTCCACGCGGCTCGCTCGCTGGTCTCGCCGCCGTCCCAACCCTCGTTTTTTCGCACCCCACCTGCCGCTCTCGCCTCCTCGTCCTCGCGTGCATGACGGCCGCTGTCGGTGGTGCTGCCAAGGCTCAGCACCCTTGTCGCCCCGAGCAGAGCGGTCACCAACCCGTGAGCGTGCATCGCTTGTTGCACCCCCAAGAGAGCTTCGCGGTTTCCATCGGCGGCCAGCGGGGCTAGCATCGCGCCCACCGCTGCCGTCACGACGGCAGCAACACCCACCTTTCCACCGCCACCGGCGCCTCCAAGCGGCGGCCACTCTCGAACTGCTCGCAGGTGCCGTTGTTCGAGAACGCTTGCGCACACCATGGCGATGAGACCGCCTTCCCCTCCCCCGCCTTCCGCCCCGAGCAACAGCACCCCGACATCCTCCACGGTCGGGGCGGTGGCGATGACGCCTTCCGCGTAGCGCAGCGCGCAGGCGAGGCCGGCGGGGGACAGCTCTCCCGAGCCCCCGCGCTCCAGCTGCTCGCGCAGCCGCAGCCACAGCCGCTTGTGAGGCAAGCCTGCCACAGGCCTCGCCGTTGACGCCGCTGGGTTTCGCGATGGGCTGCGGACGGCACGATTCGGAGCCGCGGCGACGGACGCCGGCACCGCCGTCCCCGTCGTCTCCCCCGCTACTACGTGCGCAAGCAGGCTGGCGGGGGCGTCCAGCAAGCCCCGCAGCGGAGCCCCAAACCAACACCCGTCAAGCCGCGCAACCCCGGCCGCCGTCGCCGCTGCTCCCCCTGGGAATCTCGGCGAGCAAGAAGACCAACCCTCACAGATGTCATCAGGCCGCCGCGTTGGCGTCGTCCGCACGACGCCCCCTGCTTGCTGCCCCTCACGGACCCCCTGCAGGATCGCTTCCACCGCCGCGAGGACTCGAGAGGACGACGCGGCCTTGAGTCCCGCGGCCGCCGCCTTCTCGAGCCCGCAAGCAGCGGCGGCGGCGGCGGCGCTCCCGCGGCGGTCACCACCGCCGCCGCCGCCGCCGCCGCCGCCGCCGCCGCCGCCGCCGCCGCCGCCGCCGCCGCCTTTGTTGTCGGCAGCGCCGCCACCGCCACGGCCACCACCGTCTCGGCTCCTTCTCGACAAGACGGTGTCGAGGACCGCCACCCCGGCCGACAACACGCGGAGGTCCGTGGGGACAGACTCGCACAGGCAGAACGCCGCCGTTGTCACGCAGCCGAAGACGTGCTCCCCACTGAGGACCCCGTGCCCCACGAGAGCCTCGAGGAGGAGAAGAGCCGTGCCGACGGAAGGGGAAGAGCGATCTACGGCGGCGGTGTGTCCGCTTGTATCACTCGCTCCTGCCGCTGCTTGGCCGCCGCTGGCGATCTCCTCCGCGGGGCAATGGCTACGCGGCAGCTGTTTTGTTGAGCAAATTCGAGGAGGTCAAAAGTGACGGACGGAGACGTTCCCACAGGATGGCGGCAACAGGAAGGGGTAGAAGGGGAAAAGGCAACCAAAATCAGATGGTGCGAAGGGTCTGACGGTGGGTATCGATGTTTTCGGGGACGACAACAAAAGCTACATATTATCTGCGCGAGGACAACGACGACGACGACGACGACGACCAAGAAAAAAGGCTGCCCGCTTTGCCGTTGACTCGCGTAGTGCTTGTGCGTGTGCGACTCACACAAGCCACTTTGGCGTCAAGAACTGCGTCGAAAGCAGTAGACCAAGTACACGCGCCGACCTCCCGGTACCCACTCTACGTTTCATTACAAACAACAAGACCTTGCATTGGCTTGCTGGACTGGTGCCGTTACGTGTACACGCGGCGCTCACATTGGCGCCGGCCCGAGAGGAAGGAGGTAAGCAAAGCCGACCGAGCAGAGCCTGCACGGCCGCCCCTCCGTCGAAAGCAACGATGGCCCGCGCCACGCCCGGCGAGGCCCGACAGGCGTGCAGAAGCACCCGCAGCGCGGCCGACCGCGTCGTATCCCCCCGTCCGCCGCCGCCGCCGCCGCCGTCCTTCTCAGACGACCTCCCGCGACCGACGTGCTGGCCGCAAAACGGAGCAGCGGCGGCAGCGGCGGCGGCCGCGGTGGCGGTTTCGTCCCGGTAATACGCAGTCGAACCCGGCGAGTCCCAGCGCGTCTTGTCTTCGTCCTCGTCCTCGTCCTCGTCCTCCTCCTCCACGTCGCAAATGATGCCGCAGAGCGCCGCGACGGCATTGGTGGTCGGGGGACCCCGGCGGTCTCGAAACCCACGGCCCGGTCCAGCCTCCTCGTCGAAAAAATCAAGGTCGCCACCGCCGCCGCCGCCGCCGCCGCCACCGTCTTTCTCTTTTACCGCCGCGAAGCTGGCGTTGCGATCACCATCGCTATGACGAGAACCACCGCCGGTGTCTTCGCCTGCGCCACCTCCGTTGCCGCCGCTCGAAGTGTCCTCCAGCAGCTGCTGCGCCGTCTGCCGCCACACCGAGGAGGCGAGATCGACAGCGGCCTTCATGCCAACGTTGAGACCCGCAGCAGCACGCGATGGTGACGGAGGGTGACTTGAGGCCAGGTGAAATCGCTGCTGCTGCTGCTGGCCAGCAGCCGCCGCCGCCGCCGCCGCCTCCCTGAGGGGCATTGGGCGAATCGGACACCACTGTGGTCCCGTCGGCTGAACGAGGAGCGAGAGCACGCGCACGGCGGGGGGGGCCAGGGGAAACCACTGCCGGTGCCGCCGCCGCCGCCGCCGCCCGCTGGAGACAGCCGCAGCAGGGCTGACGATAACAACGTCGCCGACACCGCCTCGTGCTCCCGTGCTGCAAGTCGCGGCCAACGGGGAGTGATGCCGCCTCAGGATACACCGGCAGAGTACTGCCGGCAGGCGGTGTGCCAGGAGCATGCCGGTCGTCTCTGGACCAGCCCGTGAGACGACGGTGGAGAGCAAGTCTATCGCTGCGCGTTGGAGCTGCAGCTTCTGCAGCGGTTCGACGGCAAGGCGAGCGAGCAGGTTCAGCAAGAGGGCGAGGAAAGCACGCGGCAAGGGCAAAGGTTGAGCTTGACGATACCAACGCAGTCCTACATTGGATTGCTAGAAGTATTTTTCAGCAAAAACTGGGTAAGACGTTCGATTTGAGTGCAAACCCTTCAAACAGCAGAGAGACAAAACCGGTTGGTTTGAAGTTGAACATCTCCAGACGGATGGCACATGCCGGGCGCTCCAGCCGCACACACAAATAGCTGTCACAGCAGCACACGGTTGACCAGGGAAATTCACGCACTGTAGTAGCCGTGCATGCATAACGCGCTCTCAAAAGCACGACATCCAGGCGGACCTTCGTCGCACGCGTTCTCCTCGTTACCTGCTCAGGCGTTCCTGGGTAGGCCGGGCTGGTTTCGGGACGCAGCAGGGAGGTCAGAGTCGAGAGCGTCGTCCACCTTTCGCTAATGCCCACCACGCTAGCGCGCTCTCCGTGACCCCCGTCACGCGCTCTCGCGACCACGGCATCGCCGGCGCCGGCGCCGCACGGACGTTGTCGTCGACGGTCGCGATGATCATCACCATCGCCGTCCTCAATCTTCCCCTCCTGCACCCACCAGGGCATCCGCGCCATGACCCCGAGTAGCCGCACCGCCTCCGCCAGGGCGCACGCCTCCTCCTCCTCCTCCACCTCCTCCTCCTCCTCCTCCGGCCGACCGCATACTCGCCGCCGTCCCCGCCCCCCGGCTGCACGAACGTCCCCCTCGAGCAGGGCGTCGCACACGCCCACCAAGGGAAGGAGAGTGTGCAGGAAGCGCTCCGCCACCACCGCGGAAGCATCCCTGACCGTCGTCGTTGTCTCCTCCGACGGCCTTCCCTGCGGCAGAACCGCGGGGCTGTCGTCCTCCTCCAACCTTGACCCGGCAGCAACGCCGGGCTCCGTCTCCGGTGATGATGACAGCGACAACACCGCGGCCGAGGCGACCCGCTCGGCCGTGCGGAGCGCGACGCGGAGGACCGGCAACGGGTCTCCCGCCGCCGCCGTGCCCCCGTCTCCGTCACTGCTGCCGCTACTGCCGTCGCGTGTTGTTTCCCCCCCGGACCCGGTCGATCGGGACAGGACGTCCGTGAACGCCGCGAAGAAGCCGCGGGTGCTGCCCACGCGCAGCGCCGCCGCTTGGCCTTCCCAGCCCGCCGGTCCCCCCCCCGCTGTCGCCGCCGCCTCCTGTTCGCTCCACCACGTACTGCGGTTGTCTGGACGCTTGCCCATTTTCTCTCGTCTTGGGAAACCGTTCGACGGAGAACGCTCATCGTCCTCCTGACCCAAACCCAACCTAGGACTTCCACCACAGTGCTGATCGCCCTCGTGGGTGCCGTTCGCTGCTCCGCCGAGAGACGCTACGTCGTCGATCCCGCCACCGGGCAACTCCTCCGCGTCGTCAACCCGGCCGGTTTCGTACAAAGAAGCCGTGTGGTGGTTCCCGTCTTCGCCGCCGCCGCCGCCGCCGCCACCTCTATCGCTACGCCTGCTGTAGCTGCCGTCACTGCAGCTGCTTCTACCACCACCCTTCTCCACAAGCGGTGAGATCTTCTGGCACCGCGTGCTTTTCTCTATGCGGTGCGCTTCCCTCCCGTCTGCCGGGCTTCTCTGCCCTCTTGGGGTCTCACCACCGCCGCCGCCGCCGCCGCCGCCGCCACTACCATTGTCGGCGGCCCCCGGAGCGGTTGCTCTAGCCGCTCCGACAATTCCCGGTCCACCACCCCCGTTCAGCACCGAGCCCCGGCGATTTTCTGCCGCCTCCTTTTCTTCGTCACCGGCAAGAGAAGACACGCAAGCAGGCACCGGCTGTTCCCGCGCTTCCTGCTGCTGCTGCTGCTCCTGTATCTGCTCCTGCGCCTGCTGCTCCTGCAAGAAGCGCTCGAGCCTGAACCGCGGCGGCCCTACCCCACCGCCCAGGGTATAGTGGGCGTCTTCGTTTCGATGCCGCAGCCGGTCCTCCTCGGTCTCCCTCACGAACGGGTGGTGCAGGAGCTCGGGCCAGGAGAGCCGCTGCCTTGGGTCCTTGCGAAGAAGGCCCTGCAGGAACGACCGCAGGTCGGGCGAGATGTCGGCCGGGTACTGCACCGGGTCCTTGACGATGTGGTTGATGAGGGAGTAGATGGAGTTGGTGTAGAACGGCGGCTGCCCAACCAGGAGCTCGTAGAGGATGACGCCGAGGGACCAAAGGTCGACCGTGAGATCGTACGGCTGCTCCTTGACCAGCTCGGGCGCCATGTAGAGGGGCGTGCCCTTTATGCTCGTGAGGACGACTGTGTTGGAGGACATGGCCCTGGCGAACCCGAAGTCACAGAGCTTGACGCGCCCGTGCGCTCCCACCAGGATGTTCTGCGGCTTCATGTCCCGGTGGATGACTCGGTTCGAGTGCAGGTAGTGGAGGGCCTGGACCAGCTGCTTGGCGATCTTTTGCACTTGCGCCTCCGGAAGCATGTGGTCGTCCTGCAGGATCTCGAACAGCTCCCCCTTTTTTTTGCGGCCAGGTAGATGAGAAAGCGGAGCACGGAACGGCGGTAGAATACGTCACACGCATGTACACCCAAGGAGAAAATCCCAGAGTGTTCAAGAAACACTGTTTGTAGGGCGGGCTGTTTTCTCCGTTTGGATACCCTTCGAGGGTACTGTCGTCTGCCGTGTACCCAGTACTTCGAGAGGTATTCTGCCCCATGTATCTACACACCTACACGCATGGCCCTCACTCTCCCGTTGCACCGCTCACATTCTGTCATCACGCTGCACTCAAACAAATCTCTGCATTTACACCCTTGCCCTGTCGCTGATTTACTCTGTTCTGTCATCAAGCTGCACTACTTTGCACGCGCAACTTATTCTAATGTAGCCATTCCGCCGCCTCTGCCCCCCCGCCCCCCCCCCTCCCCACACCAATCCAAACTGACCAATTAAACACAAGTCGCACCTGGGCGTACTCGGTGACGACGCAGAACTCGCGGTCCGTCTCGAAGGCGTCGAACATGAGGATGATGTTCTCGTGGTTGAGGGTCCGCAGGATGGCGATTTCCTGCCGCAGGTTCCTGATGTCCTTGGCGCTCTTGCCGTGCTTGGAGATGAACTTGAGCGCCACCGTCTGCCCCGTGTGCTTCCTCCGCCCCTTGTAGACCTTGCCTCCAAAGAAACGAGCAGAAACGGGTGCCGGGAGAGTAATCGGGCGTGCGTGCTCTTTTGGTGACGTTGTGTTGGAGGTGGGGTGGGCGAGCCGGTTTCAAGACAAGTATGAAGGGAATCGCAAAAAGCGCGGGCGGTGACTTCCGGGTATGATGAGATCTCGCCACGGGACAGGTAGAATCAGGAGTCCTACGTGCCGACGCGAATGCACGCTCCTCTTGAATGATCAAACTTGGCGTTCGACGCACTTCTGTTGCACGGACGCTGTTGTGGTTGCTTTCTTGAGCTCAAACTCGGGAAAGGTCAATAAGAAGCGTGCTGCGGTCAATCGCGTTTCGCCCCCCTTCGGTACTTCGGAAGCAGTTTTGTGCGTACAGATGTGCTTGGTGGGGGTGTAGATGTCTTGGTGTCTGAATCTCAGGAGTAGCTGGACGTCCTGGCACGATGGGAAGGGTATAGCAGTTTCTTGCATAACCTGCGAACGTCCTCATGTTTCAAACAGCACATCGTTCTTCCGTGATGTTTGAACCGGGTAAATGAGTAAGTTCGCAGGTTATCCAAGAAACTCTTGAGCACTCCTCCTCATCGTGCCAAGCCGTCCGGCTAATCCTGAGATTCAGACACCAAGACCATACATACTATAAACCCGCACGAAGCACATCTTTACGCAATAAACCGCTTCCGAAGTACCAAAGGGCGGCGAAACGCCATTGATCACAGCACGCCTCTTAGTGACCTTTCCCGAGTTTGAGCTCAAGAAAGCAATCACAACCCCCGGCCGCGCAACAGACTTGCTACGGACGCCGAGTTTGATCATTGAAGAGGACCATGCATTCGCGTCGGCAAACAAGATTCCTGATTCTGCCGATACCGTCGTGATATCTCATCATGTCCAGGAGTCACCTCTCGCGCTTTTGTGACTACCTTCGTATGATGTCTGTATATCACTTTTGTACTCTGAGGAGTCAGGCGGTCCTCCCTCTCCCTCGTCGAATGTGACTTTTCATTTCCGTCCGTGTATTCCAGTGTATTTTTTCTCTCCTTTCTTGAAACGCCACTTGCGCACTTGCGCCGAGATTCGACCTCACATTCCACCACCAGAAGGTTGTAACGTTAGCCACTGCACCACGGGGGGTGAACCGGCTACGACGAAACGAATGCTGCTCCTGTAGAACTACTTCGTCGTATGCATGTCTAGTGTGTGTTGCGCTGTCTAGAGGACGGACAAAACGTATGTACAACAGAGTGCTCGACTCGACGTCCAATATGTTTCAAGTTTGAACCAAACACACCTTTTTTGCACGCAGGTATCCCAGCAAGCCGTTCGGGAGGCCATAATCCCGCCCTTTTTCAGCACAGATGACCAATCAGTAACGGAAAGCTACCATACATTGTACGTAATACTTGTACCTTGCACACGAGTGCATATGCCTGCACCCTTCAGCACCCTCTCGCCTTTTGTTGTTCGCCATCAACTTGTGCGACCTCGGTATGCATAGACTATCCTGCTGGACTGTGTGCAGGAAAAAAGCGTATGTATTTTGTTCGAGCTCGCACCTTGCCGAAAGATCCCTCGCCAATCCGCTCAAGGACATGGTACTGCGAGAACATCGTTTTGCCTCGCAGGGAGCCAGCCCTCCCCAACAGTCAAGCACGAGCAGACGCGCGCGCGCCTTCGCAGAGATCAACCCCGCAGCAGCATGTATGGTGTGGCGATATGATCGGACTCAAGATTTCAAATTTTCCACCTTCCAACGCCCGTCGTTCCAAGGCATGCGTGTGACTCCACCGTCCAATTACCCCCTGAAGAGACTGAACAGCAGCAACTCAGTCTGTCTGTACTCCTACGTTGGCCTTATCCCTCTGTGCAGCGGGATGCGTGAGGTGTGGCCACGCCAGACACAGCTCTGTCTATCGACCTGTGGCTTGGAGGCAGCGTAGTATCTATCCTTTTGCCAGGACCGTATGGGCTGATTGAGCACGGAGCCCCCATTCTGTGTGATTTGAGTGCGTTGTGCACCGCACGACACTGCTCTCCTCCTGCCTAGTCTGTGGTGGTTGCGCGCCTACCACTGCCGACAAGGAGGAGTATGGAGTGGGCGAAAGGGCTGAAGGACCGCGTGGAGCGGACAGCCGGGGAACTTAAGTCCCAGGCGGCAACAGCTTTCACTCCTCCCGACGAGGAAGGAGAAGGAGAAGGAGACACAAATCCTTCCACAGCAGCAGCTGAGAACAGCAGTAGCAGCCACCCCCCAGCCTCCTCTGCTGCTGGAGGAGTGGCTTCATCTTCGTCGGGTACGTACGGCCTCTACTCGATTCACACACCTTGCTGTTTGTTTGCCTGTGGATGTAGGTTGGGTGGTATGCATCGGCACAAGCCTTGCGAAGTACGGGTGCGGATAAATGTATGATGGGGTATGAGATATCCAAGCCCCGAACCTCGCTGTGTCGATCGCGCGGCACAACGAGACGCGGGGCCACAGAGCACCACCCTTGCCCTGACATGTTCTTCTGTCTCCATGGGTGGACTTCTTTTGTACGTCGAGGGCTGATACTGGAGAGACAACCAGGGGTGGCGGAGGAGCGGAAGGCGCAAGGCCTCATCCGTCCACACCGGCAATGACATATAAATATTTTTTCATTTTTCTCATATGCATCACTGCCCCGCATGGCATCATGCGTCCACAACCTTAATGGAACACGCAATGTGATCGCTGCTGCACACCCACAACGTTCAAATGACAAGCTTTCGACTGCCAAAACAACGTGCGTATTGAGAACAAATTAGCAGCGGCACCTCCCACAGCCGTCCATTTTGCAGTGCGACATGTGACGTATTGCTGAGAGTTGCAAACTGCTGTTGAGGGTGCAATGCCAGGACCTTCGTTTTTGTCCATGAGCCTGACAGAGATTGCTTGTAGCTCCGACTTTGGGGTTTGAACTTTCAAAGATATATCATTGTTAATCTGTCTCTGACTCTTTTCTATGATAGAGATGGACTCGTTGTGTCATATTAAGAAAAATAAAAATAAAGATATATCAGCGTTTTCGGAAGATCGTCCGTACATAATGAATGGCGCAATCAGTAAATTCACGTGTAGAACGTTAGCACACTATACATATAATCCGGTCGCCCCGGTGGTCTCGTGGGTAACCTCGCCGCCTGCTAAGGGCCAGGTCATGGGTTCGAGTCCCGGCAGTGAATTTTTTTCTCACTACATAAAGCACAAGATGCTGAACACCCTCAGCAGGATGCAGCGCACCCTTCATGCGGCTCGCCGAATACCTCACGGCGCTTCGCGCTTGGTTATGTGAGAGCCTGGTCCGGTGCGAACCCGGCGTGCTCCGTCCCGGCTTTGTAGGGATGCGAGGTCAATGTTCAAACGACTACGGCATGCACGACTATGAGTACACCCCCCATCATTGGACTCTGCCGTCTGGCCCTCTGGCCCCTATCCTCCACTTCTACTAGCTAGACGACCCAACCGGGGTCACATAGGAGGGGGGGACTGGACCCCCTCCTGCTGTTCATGCCTGAGGTATTTTTATCGCGAGAAGGGCACAGCAATCCCTTCCCTCGCGACTTATGAAGTCGATTATGGTTTACTAACAACGAGCTTTGCAGCGCGTCGCTTTCATCCTAGACCAGGATTACTTCCTTGCATACGGATGACAGCTGCGTATGACTTAATTTATTTTCTGGTGCTTCACTTCCATAGACAGTTGTAAGCACTGTGTAACTGCCCAGAGGGTGCTTGACCAATTTGACACAACGTGGTGCGATCATCCCCCTTGTGCGGAGTGAGGCTTCTCCACCCCGCACTACATGATCTACTCGACCACCATTATGGTTACCGCCAAAAAAAAAACAGGCAAATGATGGGAGAAAAAAAAAAAACATGCGACGAAAACAACACGTACCACGAACAGACGGCCGCTATTTTTGTTGAGAAACCTGTGGGCGTTGGCGTTCTTGCATGTTCTGTGGGTCTACACGCGACAGGGGTCTGCAGGCCTGCAGCAGTGATGTCGACACACACACACACTCACCAGTCACCAGAGAACAGCAGTTACGAAGGGTGAAGACATTGACCGAAAATAAACCACAAATCGTCAACAAGATGATCATGAGAGGACTACACCCGCTTTGCCGCTGCTCGAAATACACACGTGGTTGTTTTCTCCGAGTCATGTTGCTGTGCCGCCGTCTTAACACTTTGGGGTGCCCACAGGTGCTGCTGCCGTCGGCGGCGGCGGCGGCGGCGGCGGCGGCGGCGCGAAGAAGAAGAAGCTGCAGGACGCCACGAACGACGAGCTTATGTCTCTGGTGAGGCACCACTCTTCAAGGCTCAAGATCGTGGAGGAAGAGTACAGCAAGCTCAAGCAGAAGGTGGGCGGGGCAGCAAGATAGGCCGACTACGGTTGTTGGTTCCGATTCCACTCTTGGCACACACAGAGGAACCACTTCACTTCGTAAGTGTATGAATCGAAGTGCTATTGTTTCTCGTTTCTGCCTGCCTCTGCATAGTCTGGCGTAGGATCGGATCTATCTGTTGTCCATCTGATGTTTTCCCCAGGCTGCTTTTGTGAAGAATGTCCCTTCTGAATCATGGACGCCTTTTTTGCCCTTCCTCCGCCGCGTGCCCACTTCAGTACATTGGCACGTTTAACGAACACGCCGATCAGCAGAAGACAGTTCAAGAGCTTCGACTGGCGATGCAACAGCAGGTACGAAGAACAGCTTACGTTTCGATTGTTGCGACGGTGGCTTTGCACTGGCCTGCCTTCGAGAGGCACAAACATGAATATTTGAGATTTGAACGTTTGAGGTGAGGAGTGCGCGCATCCAGGACCCTATTACAACTGCGTTCAGTTCGACCGTGCAGTAACGAAAAGAGCCCCGGTCACCCTCGTAGCTTACGTTTGTACCAAGCACGCCAAGCCCTACGAAGAAACGTTGCAGGGGTACTTCCTGCAACCAACATGGCCATGCAACGGTACCCCAGCTCCGTACGATGTACCCCCCGACCTGCGCGCGCTCTCTGCGCTGGACGTCATCATACTTTGTCCCGGGGTGATCCTGTCGCATCTCATATGTTGTGCTCGCGACCCTTAAATGTCGACTCGGTATACCGCGTGTTTCAGGCCACATCGTCTGAAGCTGATGGAGGTGGCACGGCGACGGCAGCTGCGGCGCAGCAGCTGGAACGGGCGTTTGAAGAGCGCAAGGCGGCTCAGGAGGGCGTGAAGGAGATGGCCAAGCGCTACTCGGCTCTGCAGGAGAAGTTCAGGCAAGAAGGTTATTTTTTCGCTTGAACGCGCCGTTGACATTTGTGTCCCGCCCCCTAGCCACAGACACACGCGCGTGCACTGGCCCCTGGTAGGATGCCAGCATTGCTTTGTAAAGAAACATCAATAACCAACCTCATGTGTACTCCTTGCCAAGACACAACCGTCCAACGAGCGGATCGAATGGTCGTGATAAGCGGCCATGGTTTCGAAGAGCGTCTTCAGAAGAACACCCACCAGCGTACTCCCGCAAGATTCAGCCTGTGCACGTGGATCCTTCACATCGAGCAACACCGACCCTAAACCCAAACCTATCTCTACCCTTGAACTCCGAAACGAACAAAAAAAAAAACGCCATCACATCCAGCAGCCATGCTTCTGCTGGAAAAAGCACCTATCGTCAGACTCTCTCGACTGTTGTCGCTTACACGAGAGGAATGCACACCCCTTCGTCTATCCACAGCACACACGCCCCTTTCTGCCCCTCGTCGCAACCAGCGAGCAAGACCGCCCCCCAAAAACCTCGTACAAAATTGGAGAAAATCTTGACCCTGACCCAATGTATTTTTTCGTTCCGATGTGTTCTTCGCCGCGATTTTGTTCATGAAAAAAATCCAGAGCCCTGGAGACCAGCGCGGAGGGTGGTCAGCATAGCGCTGAATACAACAATCTTCTTAACAAAATGAAGGTGACCTAGATGGAGGGGCTAGAGCGCTTGTCTTTTCTTTTTTATGGGCTGTGGTGGTTGCCGCTGCTTAGCTAGTCTGTCCTCAGGCGGCAGGTGGACCCGAATCCTGACGTGCTGCTTCTGACCACACGGCCACACTCGCGGTGTGGTCGTGTTTCGCGAGACTGGGGCTTGTGACACCTTCTTGCATACTCCAAGGCGATCGAATTGTATTGGTTCAGTCGTAGGTGTGGTTCCTCTGTTAATGGGGCGCTACTTTTTATCATACAAAGCAACCGGTCTGGACAATAACGATTTGCCACTTGTTACCCCCCAAGGAATATGTTGGGCGCTTGTTTTCGCAACCCTTTTGTAGATGCTCTTTATTCCTATTCGAGGGGTTGCAACAGCCCGGGCGAGAACGACGTTACTGAGTCGCTTTCTCGTTTTTTTCGCGCCAGGTCTTGATCGCCAAGTACAAGGAGGCCCAGGGTGTCATCAAGGGCCTGCAGGAACAGGTGCAGGAGCTTCAGGACCATAAACCCCCGGACGCAGACGCAGACGGCGATGGCGCCAAGGGCGGTGCCGACCCGGCGTTCGGCGCAACCATCGCAGCTCTGCAGACCCAGCTCCGAGAGGTCACCGAGGAGAAAAACGAAGCGGTGCAGCGGGCGGAGGCGGCGGCGGCGGCGGCGGCGGCCGCAGCGCAACAGGAGAAAGGGCAAGACGCTGCTGGTGGCGCAGATGACCCGGACTTCGGCGCGACGATCGCCGCCCTGCAGACCCAGCTCCGAGAGGTCACCCAAGAGAGGGACGAAGCTTTCCAGAGGGCGGAGGCGGCAGTGGCGCGCGAGGGTGGTGTTGTTGCCGGCGGGGGCGGGGGCGGCGGCGGCGAGGATAGTGTTGCGGCGGTGGCCAAGGAAAAGCTGGAGGAGCAGGAGAAGGCCCACCAGGAGGCTCTTGCCGAGAAGCAGTCGCAAAACGAGCAGCTCGTCCAGAAGGTGCGCCAGCTGCTGACCACGTGCCGCTCCCTCAAGGACCAAGTGGCGGCGGCGGCGGCGACGGGAGGCGGCGGCGCTACTGCTGCTGCTGCTGCTGCTGCTGCTGCTGCTGCTGCCGCTGCTGCTGGTACTGCGCAAGTAGGGGAAAAAGAAGGCGGTGGCCTCCAGGCCCAGCTCGACCTCAAGCAAGCGGAGAACGACAAGCTCATGGCCCGGCTGCGGGATCTAGCTCAACGGTACCGGGCGCTCCAGCAGGAGCACCAGCGGCCGGCAGGCGGCGAGGAGGGCGGCGGCGACGGTGGCGGGGGTGCGGCTACGGCCGCGGTGGTTCCCTCCGACGTCGCCGAGCAGCTCGGGGACGCCGAGCGGCGAGTTACCGCCGCCGACGAGAGGGCGGCGGAGCTAGCCCGCCGCTGCGAGGAGGCCGAGGCGGAGCACCGGCGTGCCTCGGAGTCCCTGAAGGAGGCGGTGGAGCGCCTGGCAGCGCTCGATGCTACCGCCGCCGCTGGGGGAGGAGAAAGAATGGAGGAGACCGTGGCTGCTCTTGAGGCCAGGGTCGCAAGCCTCGCCGGCGAGCTGAAGGCGTCCAGGGAGGAGAAAGAGGACGTTTCGACGCAGCTCGAGGCCAAGACTGCGGACTTCGAGAAAATGGTGGGATACTTGTTTTTTTTGCTGTCCTTGGTTGGTTTGCCGCCCGCTCCCGGCCCCTTTTATCGTGGGATTGTTGAGCTTTTTTTTTTGTTGCTTTTTTTTTGTTGGGGTCGCGAATGACATGCTACATTTTCTGCGAGGTCTTCGTCGGTCGGCCGCTTATCGTGGTATACTTGTTGAGCCAAAGTAGTCTCTGCGAGAGATGGGTGGTTGGATTCCCGCCTGTGGTTGGCTTGCGAAACGGTGTTATGGAGCGGATCATGTGGAGCAGGTTTCCCCGCCGCGGTTTATCCGTCGCCGGCGTAGCGTCACGATCCTTGCGGGTATTCCGCAGACGCCATGGAACCAAACCAACGTCCCTTTCAGTCAGCACTTGCTCACTCTGATGTCCGTACTCCCGCCGTCTTACCAAAAATCACTCGATCTACTGCCTGCTCTGCTGCTACTGCTGCCAAAAAACCCAACCCGATTTAACAAAAGCTCGGCCGGACGAAGGACCTTGCCGGGCGTTACCGCGAGCTACAGGCGCAGGCCGAAGGCTCGGCTTCGGAGCTCGCCGCCGCGCGCGCCGGGGAGGAAGAACGCCTCGCGGAAGCGGCCGCCGCCGCCGCCGCCCGGCTCGCCGAGCTCCAAGCGACCGCCGACGCCGCTGCCGCGGAAGCCCAGGGCCGGATCGCCGAGCTCGAGGAGCGGCGGGGTGGAGAGGAGGAGGAGGTGGCCGCCAGCCTGCGGCGGGCGGAGGAGGAGCTGAAGCGCCTGCGCGGGGCGGAGAAGGAACTCTCGGGCGACCTGGAGGCGTCCCGGGCGCTCGAGCGCGAGGCCCGGAACGAGGTGGTGGCGCAGCAGGCCGAGCTCGAGGCCTGCAAGGCAGAGCTGGAGGGCAAGGCGCGCGGCCTGGAGGAAGCGGAGGGGGCCTTGAGGGCTGCCGAGACTGCCGCTGAGGAGAGGCTGGCGACTCTGGCGGCGGAGGCGTCGGCCCTCCGGGAGCAGCTGTCGGAGGCGACGGCGGCGGCGGAGGGAGCGGCGGCTGCGGCCGGTGCCGAGGTAAGAAGTCTCCGGGAGGAGGCCGAGGGTCTCCGGGCGGAGGCGGTCGCGGCGCGGGGAAAGAACGAGGAGGGGGCGCGCGAGGCGGAAGAGAAGCTGGCCGAATCGCGGGCGCAGGTGCGTGTTAATTTTGTTTTTGCCAACAGCGTAGCGCAGGTTGGGTAAGGAAAGGTGTGTTCTTTATTGTTTGGGGCACGAGGAGGGCGGCGATGACGCGTTTCGCCCCTCGCGGGGTGTCGTGGTGTGGTTTCGCCAGCTTTTGATTATATTCGTCGGTATTTTACGACAAGCGCGAAGAGAGGTATCTCTCGTCGTCGTTTGTGTCTGTCGTTGGCGGCGTCATTTACCTCGTTTGCTCGTAAGCAAGAAAAGCCCGAAGCGGCCACGGCTCGGCCGTACGAGAGCTGCACGGCATTGTGTCGCATCTCCCGCGCGACCTGTTTCGTTCGGTCACCGAATGTCTCGCTAAGCTTGTGACCCGTCTGTCCGCAATGTCCAACATCGAACACAGTTGGAGGCGGCCAAGGCAGTCGCCGAGGACAGTCTAGCAGCTCTTGACCAGGAGCGCGAAGCCCTCGCCGACGAGTGCAAGGCGGCCCAGGGTCGGGAGGAAGAAGCCCGAGGAGAAATCGGCCGTCTCGAGGCCCAGCTCGAGGGGGCCGCGAGGGGAGAGTCGGAGCATGTGGCGGCCCTGCAAGCGCAGCTGGCGGGGGTGCAGGAGGCGGCGCGGGTGGCTGTGGAGGAGATGACGAGGAAGCACGAGGGGGAGCTGGAGTCTGCGAGGGCGGAGGCGGAATCCCTTAAGGAACAGCTCTCGGAGGCGACGGCGGCTGCGGATAGCGCGGCAGCGGAGGCCGGTGCGGAGGTCGCGCGTCTCCGAGAGGAGGGGGAGAGCCTCCGGGCGGAGGCATCGGGGGCCGAGGGCAAGCACGCGGAAGAGATGCGCGAGGCGGAGGAGAAGCTAGCCGAGGTGCAGTCGCAGGTGTGTGTCGTGTGTGTCTTTGTTATCAGCATCGGGCGCACTAAGCGGCTGACCACAAAACGAAATCACGTCAGCTAGCGAAATGAAAAACCTCCCAACACCGACTTGCCGATGAAAATACGCCAGGTATTGTTGTGGCGGGTTAGATAGCTCCAAACACGTTTCTAGTCAAAAGGGTTTTACCGACACGGGGCATGGTAGGACGCAGCGTTTGGGTGTGGGTGGGCACCAGGCTGGAGCACCTATAGGGGTGGGTTTGGCGCACCAGCCGGGGCCAGGCAGGAGGAACGTTACTGGAGGTTTGTCTTTTGTGAATCTCAACCGCTCTCCCCTACGGTGGAGTTCAACTTTAAGCGAGAAGGTTGCAGCCCTTTCGTCATCGCTGTTTCTGTCTGCTTGCGGCATCCCCGCTTTCCACGTCTAGAGTTGTTCACTCCAGAGAGACTCGTTTCCGAAGTTACCAACTGAACGAGTCTTGTTATTCACGATTCATTTCTTCAGAACACCAGCCATGGGGTGTCGACAGCAGTTGTATCGACTTGTGAGGCTCCCGACAGCAGTTTGAGTGCGTGCCGCGTTTTTGCTTGGCCCACCCAGTTGAAACGATGACTTCCCGCACTTTCCTGTCGGTGTTAAATTTTTAGCCTTACACGTATCCTGCCCCTCTCACCCACATGTACGTCCATCCGCCGTGCTTGCCATCAACAAAGGTGGAGGCGGCCAAGGCAGCCGCCGAGGACAGTCTAGTAGCTCTTGACCAGGAGCGCGAAGCCCTCGCCGACGAGCGAAAGGCGGCCCAGGGTCGGGAGGAAGAAGCCCGAGGAGAAATCGACCGTCTCGAGGCCCAGCTCGAGGGGGCCGCGAAGGGAGAGTCGGAGCATGTGGCGGCCCTGCAAGCGCAGCTGGCGGGGGTGCAGGAGGCGGCGCGGGTGGCTNGAAGGGAGAGTCGGAGCATGTGGCGGCCCTGCAAGCGCAGCTGGCGGGGGCGCAGGAGGCGTCGCAGGCGGCTGTGGAGGCGATGACGAGGAAGTACGAGGGGGAGCTGGAGTCTGCGAGGGCGGAGGCGGAATCCCTCAAGGAACAGCTCTCGGAGGCGACGGCGGCTGTGGATAGCGCGGCAGCGGAGGCCGGTGCGGAGGTCGCGCGTCTCCGAGAGGAGGGGGAGAGCCTCCGGGCGGAGGCATCGGGGGCCGAGGGCAAGCACGCGGAAGAGATGCGCGAGGCGGAGGAGAAGCTAGCCGAGGTGCAGGCGCAGGTGTGTGTATGTGCGCGTGTGTCCGCGCGGAGCAGACGCTGTTTATTTCCTGGTCGACGAAGACCGTCTGCCTGTTTAAGCTCTGGTGTANCTCTCTCTCTCTCTCTCTCTCTCTCTCTCTCTCTCTCTCTCTCTCTCTCTCTCTCTCTCTCTCTTTGCGTAGCACTAGGAAAGCATAGCTGCCCAAACGTTTCCCTCTCTCTCTTTGCGTATCGCTGGCGAATAATTTTACCATACCGTTGATACCGTTGAAAAAAAACAGTTGGAGGCGGCCAAGGCAGCCGCCGAGGACAGTCTAGCAGCTCTTGACCAGGAGCGTGAAGCCTTCGCCGACGAGTGCAAGGCGGCCCAGGGTCGGGAGGAAGAAGCCCGAGGAGAAATCGGCCGTCTCGAGGCCCAGCTCGAGGGGGCCGCGAAGGGAGAGTCGGAGCATGTGGCGGCCCTGCAAGCGCAGCTGGCGGGGGTGCAGGAGGCGGCGCGGGTGGCTGTGGAGGAGATGACGAGGAAGCACGAGGGGGAGCTGGAGTCTGCGAGGGTGCAGGCGGAATCCCTCNGAGCATGTGGCGGCCCTGCAAGCGCAGCTGGCGGGGGTGCAGGAGGCGGCGCGGGTGGCTGTGGAGGAGATGACGAGGAAGCACGAGGGGGAGCTGGAGTCTGCGAGGGCGGAGGCGGAATCCCTCAAGGAACAGCTCTCGGAGGCGACGGCGGCTGCGGATAGCGCGGCAGCGGAGGCCGGTGCGGAGGTCGCGCGTCTCCGAGAGGAGGGGGAGAGCCTCCGGGCGGAGGCATCGGGGGCCGAGGGCAAGCACGCGGAAGAGATGCGCGAGGCGGAGGAGAAGCTAGCCGAGGTGCAGTCGCAGGTGTGTGTATGTGCGCGTGTGTCCGCGCGGAGCAGACGCTGTTTATTTCCTGGTTAACGAAGACCGTCTGCCTGTTTAAGCTCTGGTGTATGTCCGATTTTCATAGACCACTTGGCTGGGTGGCGTTCCCGACGTTCCGCACGTCGTTGATGCCAACCACCAACCAAAAGCTTTGTGCGTTTCCTGGCGGCCGTCCGCCGCGCGCCCATCTTCAAAGTATATCTGCCCAAAATGTCTCTCTGCGTGGCCCCTCTTAAAACATAGCTGTCCTAAACCCCAAACGTCTCTCTCTCTCTCTCTCTCTCTCTCTCTCTCTCTCTCTCTCTCTCTCTTTGCGTAGCCCTAGGAAAGCATAGCTGCCCAAACGTTTCCCTCTCTCTCGTTGCGTATCGCTGGCGAATAATTTTACCATACCGTTGATACCGTTGAAAAAAAACAGTTGGAGGCGGCCAAGGCAGCTGCCGAGGACAGCCTAGCAGATCTTGACCAGGAGCGCGAAGCCCTCGCCGACGAATGCAAGGCGGCCCAGGGTCGGGAGGAAGAAGCCCGAGGAGAAATCGGCCGTCTCGAGGCCCAGCTCGAGGGGGCCGCGAGGGGCGAGTCGGAGCACGTGGCGGCCCTACAAGCGCAGCTGGCGGAGGCGCAGGAGGCGGCGCGGGCGGCTGCGGAGGAGATGACGAGGAAGCACGAGGAGGAGGTGGGGGCGGTGAGGAAGAGGCTGGAAGAGGCGACCGCACGCTCGGAAGAGGTCAAGGAGAAGCTGGAGCACGTAGGTTTTGTGTTGATGCAAGGGCTTGAGGATGTTGTTGGGCGTGAAAGGTCGGTCGGTGTTGACCCTCGCCTGCTGTTGGTTGCGTGGTTCCGTGTTTGGCATGGGAAAGGTGGGACGAAAGACGTGCGTATGCAAGACAGGCTGACGAAATCTCACCCCTTCCATTGTAACCCCCTTCCGCCCCAGTCACTGCTGCTGAGGGCACGAATGTGTGGTACGATTGTTTCAGTCGATACGGACGGAATAGTTGTGGAGTATGGGAATGCGATACATGCGGGGTACGTAACGTCTGAGGCTGCGAACCGCCAGAGGTGGCCGCCGCCGACTTCCTTGCAATCGCCTGCGCCATCCGTATTCCCCAGCTACCTTGCTTTGCCGAACCATTCTCAAATCCTAGCGCCCGAACCACGGTGTTTTTATACTTTTATTTATTTTTTACTTTATTGGTGTGTGTGCAGGATTTGAAGGACGCGGAGGACAAGGCCCCATCGGCGCTGGAGTCGTTCAAGGAGCAGCTCGCGGAAGCGCTGGCCGCGCAGTCGGCTGCAGACAACGCCGCAGCGGAGGCCGGTGCCGAGGTCGCGCGTCTCCGAGAGGAGGGGGAGAGTCTTCGGGCGGAGGCGTTGGGGGCCCAGGAAAAGCGCGCGGAAGAGATGCGCGAGGCGGAGGAAAAGCTGACCGAGGCGCAGGCTCAGGTGTGTGGAGAGGAAGGGGTTTGCAAAACCCGGACATGCCTGGCGTGGCTGGCCATCAGAAGTTGTTTGCTGTCTTGTAGGACCGTCTTGCTATCATCCAAGTTTTGTGTCTTGCGTGCGAAGAAGCACTGGGTTGATTGAGCCCTCGCACCGCGACGGCAGCCTCCAGGAAACTTCCATGTTCGTGTTTCTTGGTCGTGCTCGTTGGCTTTTTCGGTGGTGAAATGCCCGTTCGTTGTCGTCTCGTGACACGCTTCCTCGCCTATGGCCGTGTCAATGACGCGCTGGTCCCAAATCCTATTGTCGCGAACGTGGCCCCGTACAAATGGCATTCACGGAGAGAAGATTCCGCGTCAACGGTACTGCTGTGTAGTGACATCGCCGTTTTTTGACGGTTATGTCTGTCCAACCGTCTCTTTATTTAACCATTCGCGGCCGCCCTGCCGATCTCCTTCCGATGTTTGGTCCTCTCCCCGCGCCAAAGGTTGCCGCCATGACGGCTTCCCTGAAGGCCGCGGAGGAGAGGGAGGACGAGCTCCACGGCGGGAGGGTGGCCGTCGAGCAGCACCTGGAGGGCCAGCTGAAGCAGCACCGCGAGGAGGCCAGGAGACAGGCGGAGGAGCTGAGGGTCGAGAAGGAAGCGCTGGCGGCGGAGCTGTCGGACCTCAGGGAGTCCCACGCCCGCCTCGAGGCCCGCGCAGTCGAGCTCGACGCTGCCTCCAAGGCGGCCATCGCCAGGACCGGCGAGCTCGTGGCGGAGCTGGAAGCCGCCGAGACGGAGTTGGAGGCGAAAACCCGAGAGTTGGAGGCCGGGAAGGCGTCGGCGGCCGAAACGGAGACGGCCTCCGAGGAGCTGCGGGCAGCCCGCGCGGCGGCGGACGAGCTCCGGCTCAAGCTGGAGGAGGCGGAGGGCGCCGCCAGGAGCGCGGCCGAACGGCTGGAGGGGAAGACGGCCGAGCTGGACGGCGTGAGGGAGGAGGCGGCCGCGCTGGGGGCCCGGGCGGTCGCCGTGGAGCGGGAGGCCGAGGCGACGGCGACCGGGCTGCGGGCGGAGCTCGCCGCCGCCGCGGCCGGTGCCGAAGACGCTCGGGCCGCCCTCGCCGAGGAGGTCGACGGCGCCAGGGAGCGGCTGGAAGCGGCGCTCTCGAGGGCGGAGCAGGCGGAGGCCGAGCTCGTCTCGGCTAAGGAGGCCGCCGCGCGGGAGACGGCTTCGCTTCGAGAAGAGGCTGCCAGCGCTAGGGAGGGCGAGGCGGGCGCGAAAGCCCGCGCCGCGGTGGACGCACAGCAGGCCGCGTCCGCTAGGGAGGTCCTCGTCGGCGAGATGGAGAAGGTCAGGACGGCGCTGGCGGAGGCCGAGGGTAAGGTCGAGCGGCTCGTCGCCCAGGCGGAGTCCTCGCGGCAGGGGGCGTCCGCGGAAGTGGAGACTCTACGCGGGCAGGTCGAAGCGGCGGAGGAGGCGAGAGCCGCCGCGGCGGAGAGGGCGTCTGCTGCGGAAGCGGAGGCGGCGGGGAGGGCGGAACTGCTGTCGGCCCGGCTGGCGGAGGAGACGGCGGCGGTGGCGGCAGCAGTGGCGGCCGCGGAGGAAGCGGCCGGAGCGAGAGACGCCGCGGAGGCCAGGGTCGCCGAGATCTCGCAGGAGCTCGCGGCTCAGGGGCAGGAAGCCGGCGCTGCCGAGGCGGAGAGAGCGCGCGAGGCTACCGAGATGGGCGAGATGGTTAAGAGGCTGGAGCGGGAGCTCGAGGCCGCGCGGAGGGCGGCAGAGGAAGCCGAGTCGAGGGCCGGGGCCGCGGTTCCTGAGGCGGACGCGCTCCGACAGAGGGCGGAGGGTGCGGAAGCTGCCGCTGAGAAGGTGGTGGATGGGTGTGGTTTGGCGACTTTCTGTGGATTGTGTCTCGGATCGGGCGTGCGCTCTGATGTTTGATGTTTTTTGCGTCTTGGCGACGGTGATGGGTGGAGATTGTCCAGCGTGTTATACATCCGTGTTAGCCTCAGAGCGTGCGATAAGCATGAGGTGTATGCGCTGGAACGCCAATGACGGCTGTTGTTTGCGACGGGGATCAATCGGTCCATCGTTTTGACACGCCAGAAACTGATGGTATCTGCTACAGACGGGCGGCCACAAGCGGTGGTCGCCCTTCATCAAGTACGGAAAACATGCTCCCCCCCCCTGTCCGCCCCCCGGTGTTTGCCATCGGGGTTGGGTTTTTCGTTGCTTGGCAACGACGTTGTAATACAAGCCCCCCCCTCGGTGTTTGCCATCGGGGTTGGGTTTTCGTCGCTTGGCAACGACGTTGTAAAACAAGCCAATTCACTTTGTGAACTCGGCAACCAGGTTACCGTTGTTTTTTTACCTCTTTTC